AGGTGATTCTTGTGAGAGCTGTGGAATATATAATATTGGGTGATTTATAAGAATCTAAACCTCTCAGGTGCACTTATTTTTGTATGGTATTATACAGTATCTTTGACATAAAGTTATATGTTTATAGCTATTGAAACATAAACCAGCAGTTCCCAAATCAAAGATCAGAATCTCAGTGATTGTTGAAAAACTTCTAGTACAAAAAAGAAAGAATTCGTAGTTTTTTTTTTCTCGGCAGACTTTTGTTTGTTCATTTCATTCTAGGATATTTAAAAAAGTCACTTTTCAAAGATTTCAGAAATATTCAAATGAACAGGATTTTTTGAACTCTTCGGCTGATATATGCCAAGTGTAACTTTTGGTCATTAGAAGACATTGTTCCGTATTAACAAGCCACAGTTAAAATGTCACCTCATTTATCATCTAAAACCCATAAGCTTATTTTTTTATTTATTTTTTCAGGGAGGGTTTGGCATGGAAACCACTGAATCATAGTGACCATACACAAAAAAGATTATCCTTATTAAATGCAGTTGTTTGGAACAGAGGTTAAATGGATAATATGGTACAAAATGGGGAATTCTTAGAGCGGGAAGAAGGCTGCAGATAATCCTTTCACAATAGTGTAACATAATGTGAACAATCTGTTGGACAAAATAAAAACCTCATTTAATCAGTGGGGCCTTCTCTCCTCTTGTGTCACTGCTCCTCCCTTGCTCTCTCTCTCTCTCTGAACGTCTTTATTGGCCGGTGAAGCTGCTGATGAATTCTTAAGCAGATCACACTGATAATTGTATTTCATAACTGTCAGTTGTGCGAAGGCTGCCAGTGTGCCCAGGAGCTATTTGTGTCTCACTATGTCCTCCACAAACCTTCCCCCTCTCCCTCCTCCACACTTTGTCCAGCCCCCCCAATCACCAGGGATGTGCTTACTGTCTCCGGCCCCGAATTACTCAATCAGGAGGACACATTTACGGATGACACCTTTATTACAATTAATCACGGGAACTTGATTAAGAAAGTTATTCCTCCCCTTCATTGAGACTTACACAAGTGGTTCTGCTGCATATTGTAATTTATGTCCCACTGAGCTCTCCCTCCGCTGATAGACAGAGAAGCCGACAGACTGCCAGCCATACTGAGACGCGTGTGGACGCTTGTGGGTCTGTGTGCGAGGCTAGGCGCGGATGCGTGCATGGCTACATATCCTGAGACACATGCGCACAGCCACAAACACATCCCCCCTGTCATGCTGTCATGCACAACTCACAGGTTTTGCAAAGAGTTAAAATAAATGACTTTAATTGGCTGTAGAGACGTGCTCGCTAAAGGAGACTTGAATATTCCATTTCCCTTTCCTCTTGTCTTTTCTTTTCACTCTCCCTCTCTTTAACACATACCCCCCACCACACACACACTTGAATGAAGCCATCTCTTTACCTTTACTCACAGTTCCTGGGTCTGCTGTGGCTAATTAGTTGAGTGGGGTTTTAGGTTTGGTAATTAGGCGGAGGTAGGAGTGATGGGGGCTCAGGGAGTTGGGGAGTTGAGAGGGCCTGACTGACTTACAGAGAAAGAAACTGGACTGTCTAGATCCTGGCAGCACCGAGCAGCCAGCCAGTGTCCCTTAGGTGCCTGGAGGTAGACTACCATCCCACACTAAAGAGGGTGATGTCTTTGTTATGTGCCACATATTCCAGCAAGAAGAAACTGTGAAAAAAAAAGAGGATTTAGCAGGGAAAAAAAGGAACAAGAGGGAGACCTTTGAGAATTTTCCTACCCTGAATGTCAGCGTACAACAATAAAATCCGGCACCGCGCTGTTGTCTTGGATGGCAAATTAAAGTGGACTTGAGAGCTACAAAAAAAGTTGTGATCACCGCTAATTAATGTAAAGGTGGAAAAAAGAAGCAACGACTGAACATTTTTATTTCAAACGTAGAGTACATTTAACTTTATTGAGCTCGTGGCCACCATGGTCACAAGTGACAATTACTCCATAATTGCTGCATCAAAGTAAAGCACAAATAGCGAGGAAATATAACATAAGCAGACTGAGTGCACAGTGTTATACACTAAAGATTATATTTGGTTCTCTGCCATTAGCTTAAAGAAGTCAACTTTTAAAAGTCACACCAGAGTAAATATGACTGTAGTAGCAAAAATAGCCCTCAGTGTGCTTAATTTTCATGGATTCAGCTTGTTATTTCTGAATGTTTTCTCCTTAAATGTTACATAGTAGCTGTTGTAGTAAATGTAAAATAAAACTACAATCTTATGCCATCTGAAATGCTACACAGTAGCTAGTACGGGGCTAGTATGGGGGCGATCGTGGCTCAAGAGTTGGGAGGTCGCCTTGTAATCGGAAGGTTGCCGGTTCGAGCCCCGGCTTGGACAGTCTCGGTTGTTGTGTCCTTGGGCAAGACACTTCATCCGTTGCCTACTGGTGGTGGTCAGAGGGCCCGGTGGCGCCAGTGTCCGGCAGCCTCGCCTCTGTCAGTGCGCCCCAGGGTGGCTGTGGCTACAATGTAGCGTGTGAATGGGTGGATGACTGGATATGCAAAGCGCTTTGGGGTCCTTAGGGACTAGTAAAGCGCTATATAAATACAGGCCATTTACCATTTACACAAGGTAAATTCCTGGGAATAGATGGCGATCCAATGGAGGCATCACATTCAACTTTTTCCAATGTTATAAATTCCTATGCAATCAGTTTGATAATACTTGCGATAATCAGTATATTACATTTGCATTGCATGCATTACAATGTCATCCGCATTCACATTAAAGGGAAAATGAAGTTTACCCTTCATTCCTTCCATGTACATCACCTATTTAAGTTTGTGTGTTAGTGTTTGTCCCTTCTGAGGAGCAGCAACAAAACTAAAATGAGAGAGACACTTAGCATGATTTCTAATTTCTTGATTTTTTTCTCCTTTCTTTCACCACCTCACAGCAGCCGGTGAATACTTTTCTAGAAGGCCTTCACCATCTTTAATGTCTTGTTTACACTCTGCAGTTCCAGGTTGCTTCAATACGATGCCAGTTAGCAGCCTAGGACTGCAACACAATCCAATTAAATAAAGAGTGTTGTCTCTCCAGGTTCCTGTGTTCTCTAATTGGGGCTGTGACTGCTCACTAATCAGTGGAGGTACAGGTAGGCCCCGGAGGACGGCGAGACAGGGCCTCTCCTGTTAATTGAAGAGATGCTACACCCGGCCTCCTCCTTCTCCTCATAGTCCAACATGGATGCACAGGAGTACTGACGCATGCTAAATTCGTCTACGCACCCACGTGCATCATCACTCCTCTCACCTTTTGTGTGGCCGGCATGTAAGAGCTTGCTTTTCTTTTTTCATTTTAACTCCTGAGCAAGCAGTGGTGTTAAGAGGTGACTGGCAGTCATTTAAAGTGTGTTTGCTCTCTTGGTCACTTACGCCTATGCAATTCCCAGTACTTCCATTTCTGCTTTAATTATATCCATAAAAAAATCTTTAAAAACATTTTTTTAAACTGTGCAATCAAAGTTGAACTTTCATGGGTAAAAAAATGTTTTTATTCTGACCCGAGAGGCTTTAGATCACAGATGTGGTGCTTTAAATACTGAATAAATGAGTGCAAAAACGTCACATCCGTGATTTAAGTAAATAATTTTTAACCTAAATTTGTAAGAGCAAGCTACACAAAAACATGGCAAGCATCGACTAGCGTGAGTCATCCAACTCCAACTGTAACAGAAACAATGATTAACATGCACACATATTTTCAAGCAGCTAAAAATAGTTTAAAAAAAAAACCAAAAAAAAAAAACCTAACAGCTACTCGGAAAATTGAAAATAACCGTGCACGTAAGACATTACGGGCCTGACTCAAAGCAACAAACATACCTACGGTGTCTCTTGCTGACACAGGCTGTGGCGTACGTGTGAGTGACTTTGAGAGGTGTTCTGACTTGCTCCACTACGGATTCAGAACCGCCTTGGCCTGGTGTGTTTCTGATTTCCTGCACCGTCTGGTGAAGGTAGCAGCTTTGCATGCTGGGGTCACACCTGTAACGTATTTCACACTGGGTTATATTTTGAGTAGCCACCTGGATGAGGAAATAACGTGTTCACGGTGCATGAAGACTACAGCCATCCCTGCCAGGTAGGAACAGGTGTTTGTTTAAAATGACACACAGTGCAGTAATCCAACACGGACTGTTATAAGCATCTCTTGTCCATTTCCTGCTTTTGGAGTGGTTTAACAGTACACTGCTGAAGTTGGGACTCTGAAAACTTTTTTTAAGCTCAATAAGGCTTTCAAAGTTGAAAGAAACACTAAAGTTTTATCTTTGGGTTTTATAAAAATGAGTGCAATGTGATTAAACTTTAAATGGTATTTTTTAAGACTTTGTTGTTTCAAAAAGCCAAATTAAATTCAAAAAAATGGAGATGGAAAAAAAAAACGTGTCAAAGGGCATATCGCAGAGCATTCACTATGAGTGATTTTTTTATTTTTTTTACTCACGGTGGAAGAAAATAATGACATTTTCTAGCCCAACTCCTGGTTAGCTGGACTAATTTTTTTTTATTATGTGCAGCTTCGGGGCATGTGAATGAAAAGATTGATTGTGTGAATGCCGTTTCTGTCAGCCACAAACAGGCAATGAAATGCCAAGCACACCTGGAGCAGCACTCACTTTTGACAAGCACATACCAATGTAAGGCCCTATTAGAAAAACAATGAAGTCTATCATAAAACATTTATGGTAGATAAAGTGCTCGAGAGCGCCAAAAGCAAGCGCATTATGGCAGCAGGTCTAACATGATTTCGGAGGTGGACGGAAGGTGTGGGGGAGGTGAACAAAACCTTAGCTTTTGTTTCTGAGTTTCAATATGTGGTGACTTTTGATTAGCACACACTTATTTAAAACTTTAAATATTTTATATTAAATTCTGTGCTGAATATATTCATGACTGAGTGCATGTGCACATAAAAAAGCAAAAACAACCCAAAATCACTTTCCAAAGTTGCTGTATGTTTATTCATGACATTATTTTTAGTTACTGGGCTGTATCATCAGTCATTTTACAAAAATAAAGAGCTTTTCTGTGGTTAAAAATCCTTCATTAAACTATACATATATATATATATATATATTACTGATTGAATCATTTTAATTTTAAGTATGATTTCTTAAGTGCATCTACAATCAGTTAAATCACAGCTTGCTATTACTAACAGATGGTGGTGCCACTTCCACCACGACTTTGCCCAGGTTTCTCCCTGCATACATGTAGTCCACTGCCCGGAAAACCGCATCCAAGCCTACAAATTTCCCCTCCTCTGCCAAATCACCGCAATCCACCTCACACACTAGCTTCCCTTTGGCAAACATCTGAATCATGCTACTCAGAGCCTCCCTGTAGTCACCTAAGAAGTGGGGCAAGAAGAAACCCCGAATGCTGGCCGACTTCTGGAGTAGCTTGACTGGTAGCGTTCCTCCTTTGAAAGGTGGGATCCCTGAAGCGCTCTGGTACCCTGAGATGAAGCCAATCACTATCAGCCGGCCTTTATTGGTCAGACTGTTTACTGCGAGCTCTAAGACGCTCCCTCCGACTGACTCATAGACCACGTCTATGCCTTGTGGATACTCTTTCCTCAGGGTCTTAGCCAAGTCTTCAGCGGTGTAGTTGATCGGCCTGTCGCAGCCGATGGATTTGAGGAAACCGGCTTTCTCGTTGGTCGAGCAGGTCCCAATGACATGGCAACCAGCCTGCTTGGCAAACTGCACAGCGAACTGTCCCGTTCCTCCTGCGGCCGCCGTGACCAGGACAGTCTCACCTTTAGCCAGGTCGCCCAGACGTTTTAAGGCAATATAAGCCGTGGCGCCGCTGACCAAAAGGGTGAGGAACTCTGGCTTCACCGCAGGAACAGGCACAGCTTCCTTGGCTGGGACCACCGTGTACTCGGCAAACGCGCCACTGCCAAAGTAGGCCACAGTATCCCCGACGGTGTAGCGGGAGCTCGCGCTAAGGCCAAGGCCGACAACCTCCCCAATGCCCTCAAAACCTGCATCAAAGGGAGGCTTCACCGAAGGGTCGTAACGGCCCGCTGAGTAATTAATGTCTGAGGCGTTGATTCCCACAAAACTGAAACACAAGAGAAAAATAATTGAGGATTAAAAGTTAGGGAAATAAACCTGCTACATCAGCATGTGCTGAGCAAAATGGATACATTAACATTGCATTTCAGTTAACGGGGTTTTATGCGGTTATTAGCGTAAGCACATATTTCCTGAAATCCTGTATGAAGGTCAACTTCCTTGTTGTGCAGACGGGCGCGCACAGGGCCAAAACACTTTGGTTTGTTTTGGCAATGAGTTATTTTTTCTCTTTTCCTTCTCTTTGCTCGGAAAGAAAAGTCCTGCACTGACAGGGAAAGGTTTGTATCACAAAACGCATTGCATGATGTCATGATTCATTGTCTTCAGAGACACCCACAACAAACTGCACTTTAAAAAAAAATAAAAATTCAGATAGCTGCTTCTTGCCTCAACATGAAGACGGTTGTTTTCATCTTACTTTTGTAACATGCTGGAAACAAATATGTGAGAAAGGAACGTATAAATAAATCATTTACTGTCTTTTAGAGCGGCACGCACGCTGTGCCTCATTACCGTGCATGTCACACGTGTACTTTGAGCTCCCAGATAATGCTTCTGTGGTTTATAGATGGGTGGCGACGATATAACAAAACGCCTTGGTTTGACTTCTTCACATCTATGGAATCAGTTTCCTCGCAGCGACGTATTATTTTATTATCAAAAAAGGTACAAACTGTTTGCATGTGCATAAACTAGCAAGGCGTCTGAGTTTAAATAACACTCCAAATTAGCAGGGGATCTGTAACAATAAAGTCTCAGTCTGTGCAAGCCTAAGCCCTGGAAAAACTTTTCAAACAGGTAACACAGGTTTGGCCAAAATGCTCTGTTAAATGATAGCAAGCCTAATAATTTGACACTGGTTCCACTGAAATTACAAAATAAGATACAGTGTATTGATAAACGCTATACTTGGGGATAAAAAAATAAATCTCTTATTTATGTCTCTCAAGAATTAATGAAAGTCCAGAAAACTACAAAAACTCACATCTTGCAATTTTATACGACTTTTATCTTTTGCATGTGCGTGAC